GAGTTGCATTAACTGATCTCCTTTTTTTAAGATTTATTTATGCATACAAGAGCTGGGGTACAGGCCAGAGGTGTGGGGGGGTGAGAGAATTCACCAGAGACAGTGGGGAACAGAACAGGCGGACTGACTGAAATACACTGCTGAGGGCAGCAGCAGGCAAGTCAGAAGAGGTCTTCTGTGCCATGTTGGTATCTCCCTGACTAGGGATCGAACTTCTGCAGTGGCTGTGGATAGCTTCATAGCTTGCGTTTTAACCCCTTGCGCCACCAGGGAGGCCCCACATTAATTGATTTTCAAATGTCGAACCAGCCTCATGTGTCTGGAATAAATCTTACGTAGTGATCATGCATACTTCTTTTTTTATTTGTTGGATTTGCTAAAACAATTTATGATTTTTTTTGCACCTAGGTTTATGACATATTTATACAATTTTTCTTCCTTATAATGTCATTGTCTACTTTTGATAATTGGGTAATATGGACCTCATACAGGGGCCTCGTGGTGCAGGGGTTTAAGTGTCAGCCCTATCAAGCTATCGCCAGCCACCTTGAATGAGTTGGATCCATGACCAGGGAGCTGGCCCATGTGGCATGGCACAGCAGACCTCTCCTGTCTTGCCTGCTGCTCCCCTCAGCAGTGTATTTCAGTAGATCTGCTTGTTCTGCTCTCCACTGTGTCTCTTGTGAATCCTCTCACTCCCGCGCCCCCCCCCCCCACCTCTGGCCTATACCCCAGTTCTTCTATGCATAAATAAATAAAATAAATTAAAAAAAAATATTGGCTTCATACAATAAGTTAGGAACTGTTTACTCTGCTTTTCTTTAGAAGTGATTCTAGAGAATTAACATTTTCTTTAAATGTGAGATAGAATTCACCATTGTAACCCTCTGGGCCTGGTGCTTTTTATTTTGAAAGGTTATTTGTTGGTTTAGTTACTTTCAAAGGTAGAGTGTTCAGATTATCTTTGTGTCCTTGAATTTTGACAGATTATGTCTTTCGTTTAAGTTTCATCAAGGCATTTTATTGATGTTCCAAATTTGGGGGCATATGTAATTTTAACATTCCTTTATTCTCCTTATAGATCTCATGAGATCAGTAGTGATGAATTCCTCTGTCAGTTTTGACATTAATAATTTGTGTCTCCTCTCTGTTTTTCTTGTTTAGCCAGACTAGAAATTTTTCGCTTTTATTGTTTGTTAGAAGAACCAGTTTTTGGTTTCATTGATTTTGAGATTTACTGTTTTCAGTTTCATTGCTCTTTGCTCTGATTTTTTATTTCTTCCTCTACTTACTTTGGATTTAATTTACTCTTTTTTCTAGTTTCCTAGATTAAGTTGTTAATTTTATATGTTTCTCTAACATGCATTTAATGTTAGAAATTTCTAAGCACTGCTTATGCTGCATCTCAAAAGTTTTTGATAAGTTGAATCATTTAATTTAGTTTAAATATTTTTAAATTTCTCTTGAGTCTTTTTTGATCCATGTGTTTTTAGAATCATATCATTTAACCTCTAAATGTTGTATTTTCTGACTATCTTCATGTTGAGCTTTAATTCCATTGGACTCTATGAGCACACTTTCTGTGATTTCCGTTCTTGTAAGCATGTTAAGATTTGTGTTTTATGGCCCAGGATGTGGTCTGTCCTGGTGAATATTCCATGTGAACTTGAAAGGAATATGTAAAATCAAAATGGACTTTACCAGACCCAAATCAACGTGTCTATAAGGCTGTATTTCCTCCAGAGGCTCTAGAAGAAGAATCTGTTTCCTTGTCTATCTAGTTTCTAGAAGCTGCTTGCATTCCTTGACTGGTAGCTCCTCCCGCCATCTTTAAATCTCATAATTCAGTCTCTGTTTCCGTGGCCACATTTCCTCTCTTTTTCTGAACTTCTGTGTTCCTTTTTAGGAACTCTTGTGATTTTATTTTGCCTACTTAGATAATCCAGGAAAATTGCCCCATCTCAAAATCCTTAACATAATCACACTTGGAAATCTTTTGCACCATGTGTCCTAGGGATGATGATATGGATCTTGTGGGTGGGAGTGGAGGGCATAATTCACCATCCCATAGTAGTCGTAGTAGAGTCAGGATTTGAACTCAATATGCCTGCTCTCGGAAATATCTCTCTCTCATTTCTGACTTCCCTACCACCTTCCACATCTGAGTGTCTTCTCTAGCTGTGTTAATTGTCTACGTTTACTTTTCTCAGTATGATATGATTTTCTCAAAACAGGACATATAGCACATAAAGCAAGTGGGTTTATATAAAGAAAATTATATAGGACGATGATAGAGAAAGTAACTGTTCCCATTTGATTCACCAGTCTTTTCAGGTTGTGGGTGTGTCTGAGCAGTTAACCAGTTACCTCCTAATATTAATGTAAATTTTAAAGTAAATATTCAGATAAGTGTATGTATACATGTATGTATGTGTGTGTATATATTTATATATTTTTATTTAAATAGCCTCCTCTGACTAGTGGCTACTTTATTAAGTCATATAGCTCTGTAATCTTTAGCATCCTACCAAATTGCTCTTACAGAACTAATGCATCCCTAAAGCCAGTTTGTCTGAAATGAAAATTCTTCTAATAACTTACCGTGTCTTAATTTTTGGTTTTTCTTTTTGTGGAACAGAGGTAGAGGGACTAAAATTATAGACATTTTAGAAGAGTTTTATATCACTGCAAGCAATTTTAGAAAGAACTTGCTGTAGAGGAGTTTGATTTGTCCTTCGAGTGACTGGGCAGCGCCATTAATAGTAGAAAGTTTGGTATTTCATCATAGTCCTTTCATTCTAGAAGCACCTCGTGACAACTTTGCTGTTAACACAGATACATTATAAAGGACTGTGTGAAAACACATTTGGATAGTGTTTCATTATGCTGGCAAATTTAACCACATTTCTATGAAGTTTATGTGAACCCCACCCATACTTCAACCTGTTATCCATTTTGTTGAGGCCCAATCAGGGGGAAAAACAACAACAAAAAAAAATCTTCCTGTGTGGCCTGGAGTTATCTAATGTGAAGATTATTAATGCTTTTCCAGCTAGGGACTGTACGAAAATAAAATCTTCTACAGATAACTACACCCTTCCTGTTTGGGATTGAGTTTACTGTGGAACAGATTTCAGAAATAGGTTTCTGACAGTTGTGAATTTATTTATAAAATGTTGGAGGGTGAGGTTCTTCCTTTTACAAAAAACTCATTATTTCCTGTGTAAAGTCCAACCAGTAGTGTAAGCAGTCTCTTTAGAAAATTTACCCTGACCTAAACAAGAATCATGTTTCTTTGGTCACTTCTGATGTTCTTTTCAACTAATGTACAAAAGTTTGTCTATTCCAGTGAGTAATTTAAAAGGACTTAGAGTTAAAAAATAAAACACAGATTTAAATGCTTGTGTTACCTTGCTTCCAGAGAGACAATACTTTACACTTTAAATAAATATATGAACACATTTTAATCTGTTTTCACTTTTAATATGCAAATGTATAGCACATTTTTGTTCTGTAACTATGCTAAATGAGGAGTTACAGTTTAGGTAAAACAGCCGATTTACATTAAAGAATTTGCAGGTCAATTCACAATGTAACATTATCCTCATCTAGTATCATCTGTTATAAAGAAGCCTGTAAAATTTAGGCCACCCACAAAGCGGCTGCTGAGCCCTGTGGTTGGGGTTAGAATGCTGTGATTATGTGGGCTGACTGGTTTGGTGAGGAATTTACCTCCACTAAGACTAAAACATCCTGGTTCTGACTTTTCCGTGTAAGAACAACATTGGTTAGACTCAGGTGCTATGTGCCTGTTAAACCAGTTGGTACTGTATTGTCTTGACATCATGTGTAATATCATGTGAATGGCTTACTGTTTTCCGAGTTGTTTTATTATACTAATGATATCAATTCTGGGTTATGTAAACCTTAAACTGGAATGAATGGTGGTTTAAATAGCTGAATTTAATGGAATGGCTAGCATGAGTTAATTTCATCCCTGTTTAGTAAAAATGTGTGTGTGAATTTATCAGTGCTGAGATGGAAAAGGGTTTTATATATTTTGACTTTTGAAGAACCTTACCTTTTAATTTTCTTGGGGCTTGTAATGGTTTTCAGTGCAAAGAGATGAATTGTTTTTGTGAAATTTAGGAAAATTAACATTTCTTTTAAATTAGAAATTTGTATTTTAGTTTTCATGGAGACTTAACTGATTTTTCTGTAAGTACATGAATTATGGAGTATGAAAAAGAGCATAGAAATCTAAAGTGCACTTTGTGAACTACAAATTATGAAGATGACATTTAGTGTGGAGGAAATAGGGCAATTTTTGAACAGGAAATACCTCATTACCATTAATGAAAATTACATATACATATTGATACATAAAATGTACATGTTGAGGTAGAAAACTATATAATCCCATGCATATGTGTATATATGTGTGTTTATATATGTGTTGTACATGCACACACCCATTGTGAGTATAACATTATTTTGACCTTAACTGCCTTGATGATTTTAACTATGGTTGAATATTTTGTAACTTGAAAAATTTTTTCCCCAAATAGTTATTTTGGGCTTTTTTATAGTCACTTATATACAAAACAGAATTTTGCATTTGTCATCCTGTTATCATTCAAGCAAAGAATCTGAAGTTACGGGCTCAGAAACTTTTTTATTCCAAATAAGTGAGTGAAGAAAGCCATTAATGTTTTCTTCACATCTAGTGTGATGCCCTTCTAGTCGACTCTCAGATGCTGAGAAGTGCCACGTCTGATGGGATGCATCAGTGTCTTCCTGCTCATTCTAGTTGTCAGCGTGGCTCATAGACAGAGGTCTATATGGCCTTTGTCAGAATGACTCCTGGGGCTTAGGGAGATTCAGCGGTGTTATTATCTTCCTTGTAGACTTCAGCATCATAATTCTGTCAACGAAGTCAGCACAATGTTTGACTAATTATTTTCACTCTTAGTTAATCATAATGTATTTTACCTTTCTAGGTTTACAGACAAGACTGTGAAACTTTCGGGATGGTTGTGAAAATGCTGATTGAAAAAGATCCTTCGTTAGAAAAGTCTATACAATTTGCATTGAGACAGAATTTACATGAAATAGGTGAGCGGTGTGTCGAAGAACTGAAGCATTTTATTGCAGAGTATGACACCTCTAGTCAAGATTTTGGAGACCCTTTTTAGAAATTACTTGCTCAGGCAAAAAAAAAAAAAATTCTAGATTCCTCCCTCCCCTCCCCTTCCCTCCCCTCCATTGTGCATTAAATCCTTAATATATGGAATTTTTGTGATGAAGAGAAATACTTTATGATAGTTGACCACATTCCAATATCAGATAAACATCTAAAATAGTCTAAGATATTTTATTTACAGGTAGAGCCACCCAGTCCATACGTATCGCCCCTCCCCCACCCTCTAAAATAATGGGTCAATTAATTTTTCAAACTTTGAAAAAGCAGTCATGAAGGTCAGGACTTACTCTGGTCTGTCATCTTCCATAGACTACAGGCATTAGCTTGGTTACACTAGTGTCATTTATAGGTTAGAGATCATTCCACTTGAACATTTTCAGTCTTTTTCATTTCAGATCCAATGATACCATGTGACATGTTAGAATTTTGAGTTGTGGCATTTTTGACTTGTTGCTTGTTTATCTTAGATTTTGTCACTTCAAGTGTATTTAAGGATACTATCCCAAAAAACTGAGTACTTTGGTATCTTAGAGAATATTTGCTTTGAGAATGATTCTCATTGTGATAAAATAGAGCACTTACATTTCTAGAAGACACCTCATAATAAAATCTTGTTTCCTGAAGAGATGAACTCATGTCTTCTATTAAAATAAACCTAAAAAAAAAAAAAAATTCTTAAAATTCCTGACTATTCTGACTGATGTGTGAGTCTTAAACACTATTATATATAAGTCTAAGAGAGGAGGGGGGGGCAATTTGAGATGAACAATGAGGACTTTTTAAGTTGAAATTTCTTTAAAATTTTTCTAATTGAAAGAGAAAAATTTAGACTATAAAGGAGTAAGGGGGTTTCATTTTTCCGTTTGTCCATATTCCCCATCTCAAGAAGGAAGGTGACTGACTGATCACTTGTCCATGATTAGACCATTTATAGATTATGCCTTTGTTAATCTCTACTTGTAGTCTAACAAGTTAGTTATACTGCTGCAGGCCTTGTTAGGGGTTCTTAACCCTGCGAAAGTGTTCTTTAAAAAAAAAGTCAGAGCAGGCAGTGAGCCCAACCAACTACCTTCACCAGGCTGTCTGTGGAAACAATGAAAAAGCTGTCCAGATCACGGGTTAGTGAAGAATCTAGCAATTCGGATAGTCCATTTCCTGGTGACTCACAGCTGCCCAGTGGCATTTGTCCAAAATATCTAATGTTGTGGCATTAGTTAGGAAACCTTAAAAATCATGTTTGTTTTTACTACCCAATTTCTTTATCCTCCCCATCCTCTTTCCATTTCCACTTCTCATTTGAATTTTGGCATTATTTTTTGTGACCTCTGTTGATAATATCTAAAGAGCCACCACAGAGTAGATAAAAATTACATTAAAAACAGAAAATAGCAGAATAAATAATTATAGTATATCCTATAATGAGGTGTCTCATTATGCCATTCCATAAATTTAAAAAATAGTTAAAGGCAGCAATATTTTCTTAAGTTCCCTATATAAAAGCACATTGGATTTTTATTTTTGCCATTGGTATGTTGTACATAAGCCAACCCCCACCCATCATCTCTGATGAGAATAAATATTCTAATCCAGGATTTTTTTTCAGTCAAGATCTCCTAAGTTTGAAAATAAAACTTGAGATACTACCGTTGAGGCAGAAGAGTTGTTTACATTGTTGAAATTAAGTATACTAGAGATGTTTTCCTAACAGATGCATTTAAATGTAGCTTCAACAGATAAATTTTTTCTTCCTGTTCCCCAATTATATTCACCACCTAAAGCTGTTTGTAGCTTGCTATCAGCGTTGCCCTGATAGGCTTGTCAGTGTTAAATATGTTTGTTTTTTCTAAGCTGTTTGTTTACTTGCAGGATAGACGAATTCAGATGTGTATCAGTGTGTATTTTGCAAAATGTTCTTGATTAAAAAATTTGTTTGTAAATTATCCATTGTTTCTGAGTAACTCAATTGATGTGATACAATTTTCATTCTCTTACTATAAAGCCTTGATGGTCAACAGGGAAAGCAACTATTGTGAAGTTACTTGTGAACTTTAAAAGTGCAAAATAAAGCAACCAGGTTGGAATCGATTGTATTTTTTTCTCTTTAACAGGCTTAATGTTTTGCTGAAATGTTAATTTTTATTACTCTTTACTGCAAGAGTCCTTCTTAGCATTCAGATAACCTACTCAGAATGTAGGACAGAGGAAGTTGGAGAATTGAGAAACTATTAATTTTGTTGGCTTAGCATCTTGCTAGCTGGGAAGGCAGTTAAACAAGATGGAGCACACTGTAGTTCTCAACAATTGTATAATTATGAGTGACTTTCAGATAATTGTAGGATTAAAACCTCCTGGGGGTAAGAACCACACTGTCACCTGGCTCCGAGCATTCGGGAACATTTTGAGTACTCCTACTTGTCGATGCTCCAAAAGGAGGGGAGTAGGACTTACTCAGGCAGTGAAGGGGAAATATTTGAAGTGTGTGCGTGACTGAAGCCAGTTGGGGAAGAAAAGAAATAAATGAAGGCAAATGTAGGTTTAGAACAGAATGCAAACGACATCAAATGCTTGAAGTTTTATCCTTTCCTACTTCAGAATGATATCTGAAAATAACACCTTTATGTTATCCCTGCCAAGAATGCTGATTTCTCAGCCCCTCAGCCAGTTCCTAGCCCAGAGCCAGTTCACGACCCAGGACATACACTATTGGAGGGAAGAAGGCCAGAGCCTCTTAAGATTTGGCTACACCAACAAAGGATTACATGTGCTTTCAGCTCCATTTCAGAGTTTCTTATGCTGGACCCTGGGCAAGGACTTGAGATGGTGATCTGGTCACCCCTGAAACACTCAAGGTGGACAGTATTCTCTGCTGTGCCGGCTGCCGCCCAGATGGCCTCAGGCAGGTGCTGCTCAGCCTTGGCCTACAGCCCCTGGAGCAGTGGCCACACTCTGCTTGCCAGACCCAGGTGTGTGGGTCATGCAGGACACATTCATCATATCCTTCCTGCCAGTTCTTTCAAGAGCACTGAGGTTTGCCAATTAGGTGGGCAAGATGGGGTGTGGGTAAGAGGTGAACCATCATTGAGGGAGTTGGCAGAATCTATTCTCTCCTTCTTACATGCTAATGAAATTGGGTTACATTTCTGCCTAATTACAACTGTATTTGCCGTGTTCCCCTTTGCAGTTAGTTTTAATTAAGTGGCTTCATTTTCTTCTGTGGGGTTTGAGTGGACGTAGTGTGTCTTTCAGGCTGGGGCCCTCAGGACAACAGGTGTGTCTTTTTCAGGCTCTCTGATCCCTTCCCGAAAGAGCAGCAGCAGCCCAGCTTAGATTTGCCACAGAGGCGGCATAAGATGAGAGGAAACTGGTTCCCTGTGTGACCCTCAGAGGAGAAGCACCGAACTGTTGCATGAAAGAGTCATAAACGCCTTTATTGTGTGAGCCATGTGAACTGGTTTCTTGTTAGCAGCTTGCCTTCTGGACACATTAGTACAACTGATACTTGTGGGCGAGCTCTGCTGAGGTCGACACTCAGCAAGCATGCAGATTTCATTACAGTTGACCTTGGGATAGGTAATGGGGATTGATTGTATAAAGGACTCTGCCAGGCAACTGAGCTAATCAGGTGTATTCTAAAATCTCACTTGATGACAAATATTGGTGAAGCCTCATGCACATCTGGACAGCCAGAGTCTCCCAGTGGGATTCTGAGCACTGCGGGTTTACTAGATTGTGAATCTTGTAGGAGGCTCACATTTTCTTTACTTTGTGGGGTTTTTTTTTAAGATTTATTCATTTATTCATACAAGAGCTGGGGTGTAGGCCAGAGGTGTGGGGCATGAGAAGATTCACCAGAGGCAGAGTGGGGAGCAGAACAGGCAGCTCTAATGAAACCCACTGCTGAGGGGAGCAGCAGGTGAGACAGGAGAGGTCTGCTGCTCCATGTGGGTCAGCTCCCTGGTTGGGGATGGAATTCAGGCTACAGTGGCTGGAGATAGCTTGATCACGCTGAGACTTTAACCCCTGCACCACCAGGGAGGCCCAAGTTTTCTTTCCTTTGGAGCAGCCCATTCCATCCCAGGTTTCAAGGAGTAGCATTGCAAGCTCTCTAAGCATCTCATCCCTGGGCCAGCTTGACCTTTGCAAAGCCTGGGCTTTCATGGCCTACCTATTCTGATGGGATTGTTGAGTGGAGACAGTTTTTCTCTTCCCTGCTAAGCTGGGAATATGGGTGTAGGATTAGCCCTACTTTGGTAGGAGTTTCCCAATTTTTAACCTTTATATTCTTCTACTCTAATAGGGTAGAATCTAGTGTACCGTACTGGGTAGTGCATCAACTATATTTTGGGTTTAATATACTAAATACTTAGTAGAATTCTGAGAAGTACTATGTTTTTTGGTTTCTTCAGAATCTGAACAAGGTTAGAACCACCATTTGTGGTATTTTCTAATTCACACTATTTTCTTGTCATAAACCAGTAAGGATTGTTTTCATGTAGTCAAGGGCAGGACAAATGATAACTTTGCCAAAGGTCACATAACCGGAAGTGGGGAGAGCCAGGGTTTTACCCAGATCTTTCCAGTGTAAACTCCCTGTTTTTAGAAGAAGAGGGAAAATGTGGCGAGCATTCAGAAGTAGGCTCACATCCTGACTCCAGCTCATTAGCTGATGTCTGCACAGTTTGCGTGTGATGCCATTGTGATGGGTAACAATAGCTGACAAGGCACCTGAGAAAATTCAATTTCTAGCTGAGAAGGTTTTTCCTGTTTTTCACATTATCCTAAGTTGATACTACCTTCCATATTGGTTCTTATGGTTTTGGCTTTGGAGCTGTTTTAGAAAACACTTTGGAGGTACATATAGGATAATAGCACATAGGGTTACAGCTTCCATGGCCACACAGCACAGCCAGGGGCTCAGATCACTGGCTGCTGAGGGTGGAGTTTGAGAAGATCCATTTAAATGGACTGAACCTGGTAATCCAACTCTCCTATTCTAGGAACCAACATTAAACATGCCAACAGCTCCTCAGTTTTGCTTACAACATGTTCAGAGATTCAAGACTAAGATTGCTACCAATGGCAGCCCATTATGATGGGGGGGCTCTTTTCTCCTGATAAATGGATAAATAATATAAGGGAGGAAAATATTTTGACTTCCATGTATTCTGTGCAATCTCTTGACTATTTAACAGACGGCTTGAAGTGTATGCTCAAAAAGGGGGTGATAACTATCCCCAACTTCTTTTTCATAACTTAGTTTCACCTCTTGCTCACTCATATTCTAAGCATGAATATAAAAAAGCACTAACTTTTAAAAAAATTCCCAACTGCCTTTGGAGGGATTATGCTTTCAGGACAAATATGTTGGTAAATAAAAGGGAAACAGCCCTTTATGCTGAGTGAGGAGACTTTTCTGATGACTGACCCAAAAAATCCAGTTCAGTCTCCACTGAAGTGGAAGGGAATCTTTAAGATGGTCTGTGCTCTCATTTCACAGGAGGGGAAACTGGGTCAGAGCAGGTAAACTACTTGAGGTACTGATAGAGCTGGGTCTCCTAATCCAGCTGGGATTCCTGAATCCTGTGGTCTAGTGTGATTTGCGCATCCTAAGGCCAGCTTTGCGATGGATTTATACTAGCCAGTAATCATCTTTTCCAGTGTCAGTTGCTTGTTTCATTAATGGAAACGCTCTAAAACAAGAATTAGCAGCTGAGAGGATTGGTTTCCTATTCTTAGTGATGTTTATGGTATCTACTTTTTTTTTTGGCTGTAGAAGAACTGGGGTGTAGGCCAGAGGTGCGGGTGTGCAGGGGATGTGTGAATGTGAGAGAGGACTCACCAGAGTGGGGAGCAGAATAGGTGGATCTATGGAAATCCACTGCTGAGGGGAGCAGTGGGTGAGAAAGGAGAGGTCTGCTGCGCCCTATGTGAGTTAGCTCCCTGGCCAGGGATCGAACTCAGGCCATAGTGGTGACAACTCTATGCCTTAACCCACAGGCCACCAGGGAGGCCCTACTGTCCACTATTGGTGTAAATGTAAATCAGGAGAATTTCTGTTGGAGAAAAATGGGCAATATCCATCAAAATTTCACATTAATTGCATAACCTTTGTCCCAGTAGTTATGCTGCTCAGAATGGATGTGCCCATGTGCAGGAGAGAGTATCTGAAGAAATTCAGGTCCACCACTGAGGACTAGTTGAGTCCATTATGGTAGATAATGTGGCCTGCAAAAGTGGCCTGTTACTTCGCTGTCATGAATAAGGTGGGGTCTCAGGCACGAACGCTGAAGGGTGTTTTGTTCATTACAAGCTCTGCTTGTAGCTAGGTGTGGAGTGGGGGTCCCATCCAGGTGTCTGTAATTACACTGTGACAGTCACACAATGACATCACCTACCAGCACATTTCTCGGACTATTACTATCTCGTTACGTGACGCACGACTTTACTAATGTGCAATGTCCACATAGAAAGTAAAAAAAAAAGCCAATCACTCTAAGTAGTTTGCTACCATTTTAAAAAACATTTTTATAACAAGGCTTTGAACGTCCGAAGAATATACTAGACGTGGGTATAGAGGGCAAATGAAGGACTAGGAATGAAGTGTGGAAAGGCAATGACTGCCCATGTCATTGTGTCATGTGTGTCTCTGTGTATTTTTTTTTCAGTTGTATCAAGAGTGTCATTGGCAAGCCCTTCTCAGTTTTTTTTTCCCAAAGAAGAGATACCTTCCAGGCATTTCTACCTACCAAGGGACTCATTGTGCCCTGGGGGTAGGACCTCCTCAGGAACTCAGGGACCCTTAAAAAAACTTAATTTCCTTTTCACTTTCATTTTTAGAACGAACCAAGACCAGATAGGGTCATCTCTCGCTATTGCTGCGTTTCTCAAAGGGCTCTGCCCAGCCAATAGTCCAGCCACAGGGCAGAGGCTGCTGTCGAACACTGGTTTACCTGTTGCATTGATGGCCTTACTCCCTAAGGTCTCACAGCTCTTCCTCAGTTACAGTTTGTAGCTTGCCTCTGTGCTTCAAGCCCTATTTCCCCTGTAGGAGTGAAGGCAAGTGGGCACATTGGTCAAACAAGTGGTAGGAGAATGGCAAATCCATCATGGCTGACAGAGGCGCAACATGGAATTCAGTTGGGTATGTTGGCAAAGACTTGTGTTCAAAAGGTAGTTTGTTATTTATCAAGTGTTTATTAAATGCCTCCTCAAAGGTCCAAGATAGGGCTGTAGGTGACCTGTAGTTAGAACTGTGACGTGTGTGCAAGACTGGCACGTAGCACACCATCACCGCATTAGTTCAAATCCAACCCGACGACATTCCCCCTTGAAGTGAGTACCTCCCATCATTGCGAAGTCACTAGCATCCTCTAATTTCAAGAGTTTAAAAGAAAATAACCAGAAGGCCAAGTTTTAAAACTGCCACTAAAGGCCAACAAATTAGCAGAAAGGGAGGGACAGAAAGGAATAACCTGTCTCCGAACAATGAACTGATGAAATCCTCTGCCACAAACAAAGCAGATCCATGGAGGCTGGGTCTCTTCCCACGAGAGAATCACCACCTTGCTGAGAAGGGAAGCCCCTCCTCCCGCCCCTAAGTGTGGGGGGAAACATCTGCCCAGACAGTTTCTACTTGTTTTTTACCATATATTCCAGGGGTATGTGCGGGTTTTTTTGCTTGTTTTTACATTTATACAGTTTACATTGCTTGACCCATAAATAACACTCGTAAGATTAATAGGGCCATAGTTTTACAGAGTATTTACATAGCCTCACCATGCATACAGAGCCTTTTTAGTACTGAAAAATCAAAAAAAATTCAACTTTCCATCACTAGGCAATATAAATTTGTCTAAACTTATAAACCCTGACTAAAATACAAGCAATCATTTCATCCTTCAATGCTGTTTCTGGTTCCCTAACAAATCTAGCACTGCAGTGTAACAAACATCTTGCAATTCAGGGATATAAAAATATCAGCTTTAAAATCTGAACTGTACAGTATGTACATTAATATTTGCACCATTAAATTAGGAATACACTTAAGTCTATGAAATACTACATTATAAATAGCAATGTTTTTTTTTTCCATCTGTAGCTGGAGCTAATACGATGTTTACCCGGCTAGTGAGGGGTAAAAGGGGGCAAGGTGGTCTCCCACGATGGTGGTCAGCATGACTACCTGCACCCCACACAACGAGGCAGACTCATCAGGCCCAGGGGGGCCAACCTGGCATCAGGGAATGACAAACACTATTGCTTTACTAAGCAGCTGAAGTTCTCCATTGTCTAAAATGAACACCCCTGTCCAATCACCTTCTGGCAGTTTCTTGAGGATTCTTTTGCCGACTACAGACCAATACCAGCTGTATAAAAGTGATGTACTTTACAGGTATGAGCTGTTCTGTCAACCTGGCCCCATCCAAGGAGGGTCAACTGGGGAAATCATATCTTCCGAATGTTAATCAGATACTGTAAACAGCAGTCACGGTCTCATATACATGGGCAAAGCACTTTAAACTATCTTAGTAACTTCCTATGGGAGAAAAAGATATGATTCAAGATGGTGAATGGCTGAGCTCGAACATGACCTCCACAGCTACTAGGTTAAGAAATAATACAGTTTTTGCCCTTGTGGCCCTTTTTCTTCTTGGATTTAGTTGTCCTCTGACCGAACTGAGGCGTGGGGAGCGCAGAGTTGGGGCTGGACAGGTCGTCTGGATAGTAGGCATATCTCTGCGGCCGGGGTTGAGGAATTGGCTGTCCGAGAAAATAGCCTTCTTCTTCTGAGTCAGAGGAAGAGGTGGAAGAGGAACACCAGGAGTCGTCGTCCTCGCCGTAGAGGCCCAGGAACCTGTTCATGCCCGGGCTCTGCAGCGCGTAGTCAGACGTGGCGTGGGCATACTGCCCATAGAGGTCGGCCTTCTGGACGTAGGCCTGCATCTCGCGGGCGCTCTTACTCTGAATGAACTTCTCGTAGTTGTCAGGGGTGTAGAGCCGCAGTCTGTCTTTGGGAGGGTATTTCCTCTCAGTAACAAGGTTCAGGGCATTGTCAGAGCGGGACTTCCTGCTTCTTCGGCGGCGATGGTGGTGAGGTCTGGAGCCCCGCTCTTCAAAATGGTAGACCCGTCTCCGAGTCCTCTCGCTCATGGGAGGCTGGCGGATCTCGATGTTGTCATAGTTCCCATTGTCAATGACATCATCGGAGAACTTGACCTGTTGCGGCCTGGACTGAGACTTGGACCTCCTGAGCACTGGCAGGTGGACTGGTTTCTCTTCAGGCATGATTTTTTCTGGACACAACTCTGAACTTAGACTCTTTAAGGATTCCGCGCTCCTGTGCAGCATGGAAGAGTTCAGAGTGCCCATGTTGCTCATTTTCTCACAATCTTCTGCCTCTATTTCCTCAAAGTTCTGCAGAGAATATAAGGATGGTCTTGGCTTGCTTTCTCCATCCACGGAGGCGCCTGGAAGAAAAGCCAAGAAGAGCTATGATTCCTAGTAATCTTGATACCCTGACAATTACAACATGCTACCGAAATGGAGCAACTCAGGGAAAATTCTCCCAAATTGCAAAACTGATTAACACCCACAAGGTAAAACCAACGTGCTGTCTATACTTTGTTGAGATGAAGTATGGATTTTTTGCATTGATACAGGGGCACTGCCTCTCCAATGAGCCAGCTGGAACGGAGCCAAACATTAATTCTAGCACTTGGCATGAGCAACACAAATGTAAAATCTCTTCATAAAACCCCTTCTTGAGTTTGTTAACAGGAGATGAAGAAGCTTCTGCCTCTCCAGCGATTAATGCCAGATTAGTTATTTGAAGATCTCTCAAATAAATCCTTTGTAGCCGCATGGCTACCATTAAGGTCCCTGTTGTCTTCTTAGACTCTCATCTTACATCTACGCTGGCGGCCAGCAAGCCACAGCCCAAAGGCCACATCCAGCCACAGCCCAGGTACAAAGTTTCACTGGAAGACAGCCATACCTGCTTGGCTACGTGGAGCTGTGGCTGCTTTCTACAATGAGAGTTGAGCTGCTGCAACAGACACTCTGTGGAGCCCAAAGTACTATTTAGCCTTTTGTGGAGGAAATTTGCCAATTCCTGACTTAGATTCACATCCACTTGAAAACATTCAAGTGAAAGTTTGATCCCCGGGCAGGGAGGTGACCCACATGGTACAGCAGACCTCTCGTATCTTGCCTTGTGCTCCCCACTCTGTCTCTGGTGAATCCTCTCAACCCCCACACCTCTGGCCTACACACCAGCTCTTGTATGCATAAATAAATAAATCTTTACCAAAAAAAGCCTATGTCACGTTGGGCCTGGGTGTCTTGGTGATTCATGGTTCCTCATTAGTAAAATGCAAGTTATCTACTCTATGCAGCTCAGGGTGGTTTTAAGGATAAAGTGTGGAAAACTGATGTGAATGTGCTTTGAAAACATTGAAGTGAAATTATTTTACAATCTGAATAAAAGTATTTGCTATTTTGGACTACTGCCATAGGGCAATTTGGGAAACGATACAAGAAAAAAGTGATGGGCTTAGAAAGTGCTCAGGCTGAGATTAATATCTTGCAGTTCATGTCGAATATTCCAAAGAATCTTTCAGATACAGATGCACAATCTATTATCCAAATAAGTCAATTTCTTCCTCTTCAAAGTAGGGATAATAATACCACCTACCCTGAAGGACTGCATTGAAAAAGGATGTAGTAGGGCCTCCCTGGTGACACAGGGGTTGAGTTTCAGTGCTATCACCACTATGGCCTGAGTTCCATCCCCTGCCAGGGAGCTGACCCACGTGGTGCAGCAGACCTTTCCTGTCTCACCTGCTGCTCCCCTCAGCAGTGGATTTCAGTCAATCTGCCTGTTCTGCTCCCCATTATGTCACTGGTGAGTCCTCTTACACACCCCCCACCCCCCACCCCTGGTCTATACCCCAGTTCTTCTATGCAAAAGAAAAAAGGATGTGTATACACACACACACACACACACACACACACACGCTTTCCATAGTATATGGCATTTAACTGAAACTCCTTCCTTAGCCTCTACTGGTACTGAACTATAGTATCTGGAATAAACTTCTTAGTGGCTCCTTTTTCAAAGACCCTATAATCCCTAGATTACATACCTGTGATATTAGACAAAGCCAAAGAATCCATAGAATCCCGAACACTTTGCTCTGGTTTCAAGTCTGACAAACACTCCAGGGAATCTTCATACCACTGTGTTTGATCGTGATTATATCCCGAAGCCCCATGGTCCAGATCCAATTCCTGGAGCCTTCTACTGCTGGCAGGGCCTGGGTGGCTGCCGTAAGCAGAGTCTCCCAGTCCATCTTGTGACTGTGCCCAATACATATCAGATTGGTATTTTTTACTTGCCAGGCTCTGGTTATTTTGCTTCAACTCAGTCTTATTTTTAACCATGTTATCAGATAGCCAATGCTCATTAGCGCGACTATCCATCTCATTGGGCTGCTGCTGAAATAGGCTTTTATCACCAAACTTGAGGAGGAGCTGAGTCATATAATCTTCATGTTCAGCCCATTCTTCGGGGTCTTCTGGAGTTTCATGCTCTACCCTGCCTTTCCAAAATTCTTCATTGACGAAACTTGCTCCTTGCCTAGAGAGACTCAGGTCCTCCAATTTCCGAGACAGGGTGTCATCAGCATTGCCGGAAAGGCCAGGAAACTTGTAGTTCAGAGCAGGGGACAGGAGAAGAGACTGTCTACACTGATCGGCTGACCGACTGCTATTGCCCATTCGGACGCTTCTTCTGGAGTCTCTTGATCGAGCTGACTGAAATGCAGAATCGGAAGAATCTGAGGCATGGACATCTTCTCCGAGGCTACATGTTTTTGAGCAATAAATCTGACCTTGTTTGGGAAGGAAGGGACATCCCAACAAAGAGGCTTTACACTGGGCACAAGAAAAGCAGGCTTCTGTCGCGTGCCAGTGCTGTCCATCGTAGGTCATCTGTGCGTGGTCGACACCTGCGTTGAAAAGGATAGAAAAACAGGTTATGGGCCAATCTTGAAACAAAGAAGGACAAACCAGAAAAGAAAGACTGTGGGCATGAAGGGAGAGCCAGGGGTGCTGGGGATATTCCATATTTCATTAGGGCTGTGAGTCACACAGGTGAAATTAACATTTGTCACAGATTCCATATTGGTGAGTTTGTCTATTTCCTAAAATTAACTTGTGGCCCTAAGTCAAGACCTGCAGAGCTCTCAAGGTCATTTTTGAACATGGGCAGAGTGGCCAAAAATTTGAGTTGACACACATGATCCCAGCGGAGGTCAGACAAAACCACGTTCTGTCTTTGGCTCTAGTGTCAGATTTAAAACGAGTGACAGGCTCACGAGCTATTTATTTTCTGTGTTTTCTGCACATTTTGGTGCTATTTTGTTGATTTCACTGTTCAAAATGGCTCCCAGGCATAGTGCCAAAGTGCTGGCTAGTGTTCTGTGGAAAGAAGGCTGTGATGTGCGTTATGGAGAAAAGGTGTGCATCAGGTAAATTTCATTCAGTCATGAGTCAGGAGCTGCTGGCTCCGACTTCAATGCTAGTAAGTCAATGATACCTATTAAATAAAGTGTCTTTAAACTGTGAAACTGTCCACAGCCTCTGCAGCGTGTGCACCTCCCGGCCTCCAGGGAGGCCGGCCAGGGAGGTGACTCACATGGTGCAGCAGACCTCTCCTGTCTTTCCTGCTGCTCCCCTCAGCAGTGTATTTCAGTCGATCTGCCTGTTCTGCTTCCTACTTTGTCTCTGGTGAATCCTCTCACACCCCCGCACCTCTGGTTTGTACCACAGTTCTTGTATGAATAAGTAAATCTTTAAAAATAAATAAACTGAAACACTCATGAAACAGAAGTATGTATATATCAGGGTGATGAAGATGGGACAGAAGCCTGCGGGAACCTAGTCCTGTACTTCCACTAGGAGCAACGGCACAGTATTTGCTAATCCAGGTGACTTTATAGATCATAATGACTGCAAATCATGGGCATCAACTAGATGTCTATTTGTCAAAACTCATGGGCATCAACTAGATGTCTATTAAAAAAAAAAGACTGGATGATGAGATTAGCCAGAAATGTAGCAGAGCAGATAGGCCAAGCTGTGGACTCACCGATGTGCTCCCCGCAGGTCTCACAATACTCTGCGTACAGGGACTCAAAGCAGCCACAGCAGAAGGGACGGCCATCCTTCATGATGTACCTCTGTCCTCCCAGGACCGTCTCACACTCGAGGCAGCAGAAGTGCTTCATGTGCCAGTGGCGACCCTCAGCTTCTGTGCACTCATCGGCAAAAATGATCTTTTAAAAGAAATATAAAACCATTGGATAAAAGTTACTATGAATTAATTCAAAGGCCAAGTAACTGCCTATTTTCTGGGCCATCAACAGGCACGAGCTCTTTCAAAACATCACTGCTAACTCTGTTGCTTGTGGCCTCAAGCTTAAAAGAACTTGATAGGTTTCAAAACAAGAACAGAATTTGAAAAGGCTGAAAAAGTGAAACTTAGAGCTGGCTTCAGCTTTAAAGAAGAAAACAGATTTTTTTACTTTGGAGACAATTCACTGGTCATGGTTTTGCTCCCCAATCACTCTGTTGTCATAACCTGGCGAAGAATACATTAACAATGAAATAATATAGTGGTCACTGCATTTTAATAAAAACACATACAATTTGTGAAGTTCACATAATTACAACTACCTCGGTGTGGGACTGTGTGAACAGCACCTGTAGGGATAATGCTTCCTTTGCCCCAGTGGCCAACTCCAGATTAAAGACATTTTTACTTATTATTTATGTTTTTGTTTTTTTAAAAAAGTCAAATAACAGGTCACTGAAAAAACTTTAAAAACAGATAAATGTGTAAAAGTTGATTATCACTGATTGAAGGACACTAAGAAGATATAATAAACAAATGCAGTCAGGTACCCTGGATGAGACCTTGGGATAGAAAAGAGACATTAGGGTCTCCCTGGTGGCCTAGGGGATAAGTCTCTGCACTATCACCTCTATGGCCTGAGTTTGATCCTCAGCCAGGGAGCTACCACCCACAAGGCACAGCAGACCTTTCCTGTCTCTCTGCTGCTCCCCTCAGCAGTGGATTTCAGTCAGTCTGCCTTTCTGCTCCCCACTCTGTCTCTGGTTGAGTCCTTTCCCCCTCTACCCCGCCCCCCCACACCATCCACACCTCTGGCCTACAACCCAGTTCTTCTACACACACACACACACACACACACACACACACAGACACTAGCAGAAAACTGGGGAAATCTAAAGTCCATATTTTCATTAATGGTGACACCAATGCTAATTTCTTAGTTTAGAGACATATGCCCTGGTTATGTAAGATGTTAACATAAGGGAAGCTGAGAGAAAGATGTGCAGGAAGTCTCTGTAATATATTTTCAACTCTACAGAACTAAATTTACTTTAAAATAAAAAGCTTAAGGGGAAAAAAAAATTTCCTTTCCCACCACAGTCCCTTTCCACATGCTAACTTGGTCTACATCTTCCCATACCATTTCAGAGAACATCCACATCTGTGTAAAATCTTGGTTCCCCCTCTTTATTTAACAAAAATAAGATCGGGGCCTCCCTAGTGGCACAGGGGTTAAGTCTCAGTCCTATCAAGCTATCACCAGCCACTGCTACCTGAGTTCGATCCCCAGCTAGGGAGCTGACCCACATAGGGTGCAGCAGACCTCTCCTGTCTCACCCGCTGCTCCCATCAGCAGTGGATTTCAGTCCATTTGCCTGTTCTGCTCCCCATTCTGTGTCTGGTGAATCCTCTCACACACACACCCCACCTCTGGTCTACACCCCAGTTCTTGTATGCATAAATAAAAATAAATCCTTAAAAAAACAAAATAAGATCGCCTGCCACATACTCTTGTAACTTTCCTTTCCTCCCATCCATCACGGGCATCCCACTTATGTCCAGGGTCACCACAAAATATCCAAGCGGGAGATGTCTCTATTTTGTGTAGAGGTGAAGAGTGGAATGCTGGCTTACGAGAAGCTCATTTTTCCCAGTGTTAAGGGACAAGCTCTTTGCTTTACCTCGTCACATGCTGAACACCGCGGCTTCAGCAGTTCAGCGTGGTGCCTGCCACAGTGAATCTTCCCATCCTGATAAAAGTAGATGAGGTCGACCAGTAGCTCATTACATGTGAAGCAGACAAAACAGGATGGGTGCCAGCAGACCCCGGGCCCCGCACGGGACGCAAACACGGCAACCTCGCCTCCGTTGATCTTCAGGCCGCACTGAAACAGAAGCACCTGAATTAAAAGTGGTCCTGTCTAGTGACTGGAATCTCAGCCTTCCCCACTGACCGTGAAATCCTGAGTGCGTTGGGACTTTATTTTTTTCCCTCTGGTTATTGATTCAAAGATTCGTTCACGCTGGATTATTTGAGATTCTCAACTGAAAGTATCAGGCCCCAGACTTGCTGCTGTGTAGACTGGTTGTGAGGCTGCTGTCAGTCTCACACTGAGCTGCTTCCCTCTCCGTTCACGTCCCTCTGAACAGCCAGTAGGACTATAATGTCTTCATTATGTCTCTGCATCGTTTGAACACTAGATGTACTGACCACCTCCCTCCAGCTCAGGCCCCAGGCAAGGTGGGATTTCAGCCAATGTTTTTGCAAGGACAGCCTGCCTGCCTGTCACACCCTGTGGAGCAACCAGCTGGAACATCAAACCAATCCCCATTTAATAGAAAGCTAAGGTGCCTTTTCTTAGTTTCTGGAGGCTCCAGCGGCCCTGCCTGGGCCACCCCCGTCACTACAACCGGGCCCTCCACCCACAGGTTACCTGCTCGCACACAGCGTGCATCAGCGCTCTGGACAAGAGTTTGATTGTGCCTCTTCCAAGGGCTTCTTTCTTCCGCTGGGCGCTGAACACTTGCAATTCTTTCTTCTCCTCTTCACTCAAAGACTGGCAATACCGCACCTTTGCAGGAGAGAAGCAGAAGCACGCACTGGGACACAGCCCCTTCCCCAGTGCCATTTCATCCAGCATTTAAGTTTCAGGAAATAAAAAAAGCTTCGCTGGGCTGTGTCCTGAAGCCCCAACTTAAAAATGACCCTGTATCTTGCAGCCTCTAGCAAAAGGGAAATGCAATAGGAAGGGACACTCTTTTTTTGTTTAAATAAGAATTGTTTAAACTCGGACTTCCCTGGTGGTACAGGGGTTGAGTCCCAGCCTTATCAAGGTATCGCCAGCCACTGTGGCCTGAGTTCGATTCCCGGCCAGGGAACTGACCCACATGGCGCAGCAGACCTCTCCTGTCTTGCCTGTTGCTCCCCTCAGCAGCAGATTTCAGTAGATCCGCCTGTTCTGCTCCCTACTCTGTCTCTAGTGAATCATCTCACTCCCCCCAAACCCTACTTCTGGCCTATAGTCCAGTTCTTATATGCATAAATAAGTAAAATTAATCTTAAAAAATATGTTTAAACTCTTAGCAGAGACACTAAAAAATAAAAGTAAGATATTAACCTTTCTATAAAGGATTTCAACTTTTTAATTGCATTTTCACTGGACATTCTACAGGCCCTAAGTTCTGCGGGCCTGAACCCCCATAAAGCCCTGGCTTTGGAAGGAGGCACAGGGAAGTCTCAGGAATTTCTAGGCTCCTGATAATCAGAGGGAGGCTGTAAGCACAATATAAACCAACTTGTGTTAAGTTTATTGCACGGACACCCTTTTCTCTGTGAAAGAATGGAGAGCTGTGTTTTCCGGCCAAATTTTAGCTGAAGAAAGGAAAGGATAGTGGGGAACTGGTTTATGACAGGCCTCATGAGATGTAGGTTTTTTTCCTTCTCATTAGCCTCCTTCCTGTTATTTTACCTCATTATCATGTGGTGGCAACTGGTACAAAAGCTGTTTAATTCGATGTTTCTCTCCAGGGCTGTTAACATAAGGAACCTTCTCCTCCGGTAAGCAAGCAAAATAAAGCTGGATCTGTGGACGAGAGGGGGAGAAGGATGTCAGTGTGCATACAGTGAGCATCTTAAATTATTCTGTTTAAAAATTACCTTTGGGGGGCCTCCCTGGTGGCCTAGGGGTTAAGCCTCAGCACTATCACTGCTACGGCCTGGGTTCCATCCCCGGCCAGGGAGCTGACCCACACTCAGCACAGCAGACCTCTCCTGTCTCACCCGCTGCTCCCCTCGGCAGAAGATTTCAGTAGATCCGCCTGTTCTGCTCCCCACTCTGTCTCTGGTGAATCCTCTCACCCCCTGCACCTCTGCCCTACACTCTAGTTTTTGTATGTTGAATAAATACAAATTACCTTGAGGGCTTGGCCTCTGTGGCTAACAAGAAGACCAGCTGAGTCAACTCAGTGAACTGCAAACATGCAGGGAGCTGGCATCCAGCTGCTCAACTGCTCTTGAGGAATGTGATTTGTAGTGACAATTAGGGGCATCATAAATTACGCACCATAAAATATGCACATTTAATACTGCTGTTCCTCAGCCTGCCTCGCCAGGGTCAGCCAGGAGATGTGCTGGGTGAAGGCCACAAGGGGCCACACAGGCAGTGTGACTACACAAAAGCATTTCATTTGCTCTCTCGATTTTACACCCGACAGAGACAAAAGCTGTTTTGTTTAACTTTGTAAACTCTCCCTTATCGGCTTCACTCAGGCATCAGCTTCCTTTTCCTCCATGGGTACTATTTTCTAAATACCTGGAGTCAGTTTCCCTGAGGGAACTGTAGAGGAGCCGTATTGAACTGTACTTAATTCACTGGAGAAGGAGAATGCATTCGGGGGGTTGGTTTGGGCTTATTCCCTGTTGTGTTTAAAGGAATCTCCTTTAATGATAATTGCAAAGGATACTGCAGTGCTGAGAAAGAACGAAAGTTATTCAAGGGAAAAAAGGAGATGAGAGGCTTGCTGTGAGCTTCACTATCTTCATATCACACCAAGCCTACTCATCCTAGGCTGTAAAAGGGGTTCTTTCTTCATAAATAGTCTGTCAAAATATTGCTTTCCTAACTGAAGTGCTGGCACCCCAGTGCATCCTACTGTGTCAGCCATGGGAGCTTTTATAATAAGTTAGAAACACTCACTGAGTAGCAGCTACATATGAGTCAGGTCGTGTGCTGGATCCTGGGTGAATAAGGAGCCCTTAAAGTAGTTCCCACCACACAGAAACTCTAACTACAACCCAGAAGCACCCAGCTTGCACCTTTCATTTCAAACTATGCCTTGACCCTTATAATATCGATCACTAGCAATTACTAACAAGGTCACTATTATAAGGATTTAGGGAAAATAAAAACAGGCATCTAGAATGTCCTCATCTTCCTTAAAATACCAACACAAAGTGCCAAATTCATTCTTTTAATTCCCCACCCCTCACCCCAATCCCCTCTGTGTGATGACAGGTTCTTTTTGTGCAAGTTTATCAAAGGTCAAGCGTGTAAGCTTCGGACGGTTTCCTACAGCTCTGTATTTCTGCTCTTTCGAAGCAAACACATCGCTAGAAACCTGCTTCTTTCTTTGTATTACCTTTTTGTCATTACTTTCCTTTTAAAAAGATCAGATTCGCCTCACTACCTCCAAAGGGACACCTCAGAAATCCACCTAAAAGGTGCATGGACAGTATTCCAGATTTCATTCATTACAGCAAAAATTTGGGTTGTTGGAAAAGTCATTGGTACTGGGCAACCCCAATGTGAAATGGGTGGTCTGATTATGGGTCCTCCCCACACGCTTAAAAGGGACTTAGAATGAGACTCAACTGCAGGCACACGTAGAAAGATAATAAAGAGTTTACTTACAAGAAGGGGAAATACAGAAAAGAACAACTCAGGGACAAAGAGAGAGATAAATTTCTGAATGCTGAGCTGGAACCCCAATAGCATGCTGAAAGCCAGGGAAAAATCAAGGACCCCCAAGGCCCACATGTCTGGTTATATACCAAGCCTGGATGCTTAGCTCCACCCTCAGTTCCCAGCAACCCTCCCTTCGGTGGTGATGACATTATGGGATTTGCAGTCCTTGGTGTCTTGGATCTCTCTGGCCTGGGGTGGGGGTGGGGTCCATAAAACCTATTCGAGGAGTTGGGTCAGGTATTTTCTGGTGCCATCTGCAAAAATGCATCATGACTTTTCTGACCGCCCAACAGCCTCCTAGTAGGGCTTCTGCTCCCAGGAGGGCCTGAAGACTTTCACTGAGAAACTCGGTGTGACTTTAAAAAGCCAAGATTTGAAACGATCACAAGAGGAGTGAGGACTCAGAAATGTGGTGTGTCAATAGGCCAATGTTGTTCTAGAAATCTTTCTTTTAAGTTTTTGAAAAACCAGAACTCTTGAAAAATGGAGCCCCAGCACCCCTGGGCCCACTACCTGCTCGGGCCGGAGCCCGGGGGGCACCCAGGCGTACTCCTCCAGCGCACAGCCCGAGTCGTCATCCGAGGTAGAGCTCCTCTGGCAGCCAAAGGCCAGCTTGCTCATTTTGGGTTCCATCTCCAGCGGCATAGCAATGGCAGCGGAAAGCTGATTTCTCAGTCACAGCACATCAAACAGCGGCAGCTGTGGACAAGAGAAGAGAAAAGAAATAAAAAACCCGAAGGCATTCCTCTACCCTCCCAGAGCTTGTATTTGATGCAGTTTCCACACAGCTGGGCCCAGGGAGAGAGACCAAATCACTAGTCACTACCGCCAACCCTCAGGCCATCGTGAGCTGGACTCTCTCTGGCTACCCAATTCAGAAGCAGCCCCCAGACTAGTTCAGGAGTACAGGAAATTGCACCAACACTACTTTATTTCCAGCTGACTTGAAAATTCACCTCTCTGTACTCTGATTAGGAAGATTCTTGAGAAAATGGCCGTGTGAGGGCCTCCCTGGTGGCCTAGGGGTTAATTCTCATGCCTGTCTCCACTACTGCCCGATTTCGATCCCCGACCAGGAAGCTGACCCACATGGCACAGCAGACCTCTCCTGTCTCGCCAGCTGCTCCGCTTAGCTGTAAATTTCAGTCTGTCTGTCTGTTCTGCTCCCCACTCTGTCTCCGAGGAATCCTCTCATCCCTACATCTCTGGCCTACACCCCAGTTCTTTTATGTAAAAATAAATTTTTAAAAAAAAAAGATTTATTTTATCTATGCATACAAGAAATGGGGTGTAGGCCAGAGTGGGGGCGATGTGAGGATTTCACCAATGACGGAGTAGGGAGAAGAACAGGTGGATTTACTGAAATCCACTGCTGAGGGGAGCAGCGGGCGAGACAGGAGAGGTCTGCTGCGCCATGTGGGTCAGCTGGGGATTGAACTTGTGCTGCAGTGGCTGCTGACAGTTTCATAGTGCTGAGACTTAAGCACTTGCACCACCAGGGGGGCCCAACAAATAAAAAATTTTAAAAAAGAAAATGGCCTTGTGGACTTTTTGACTCCCACAGATGAAAACCCTGTGAAGTCCTAGGAATTGGAGACAAGAATGTGGGGATGGCACCTCCAGCCTTGCTCACGATTTTGCACCATGAGAAAGTGGCTCAAGAGTATATCCTTGGCCCCATATTTTCTAAATGATTTTCCCACCTAAGGTATACCACTGCTTGTACTGCACACAATCAGTCTGCTGGGACCAATGATAGGTTTCAGGTTTCTATTCAAGTTTTTTTTTTAATATTTATTTATACAAGAACTGGGGCACAGGCCAGAGGCGTGGGGGGTGAGAGGATCCACCGGAGACAGAGCGGGGAACAGAATAGGCAGACTGAAATAAACTGCTGAGGGGAGCAGCGGGCGAGTCAGGAGAGGTCTGCCATGCCATGTGGGTTTACTCTCTGGCCGGCTGGGAATCAAACCCACGCTATAGAGGCTGTGGACAGCTTCACTGTGCTGCGCTCAACCCGCTGCACCACCAGGGAGGCCCTCTAGTCAAGTTTTGACAGACACCAAGTTTAGTTTCCTCATTGAATAGAATCAGCACTTAAATCCACAAGTCTTAACTATCTATGGTAAAGGCAGATGTTGATGAACAAGTTTCTTCAACAACAAGAATAGAATCCAAGCAGTAGATTGAAATAAAATCCAGTTTGGTGACTCTACGTGTTGAGCTGATTTATTAGCAGACGCTCACTGAAAAGTGATGCAGTACCCACTATGTGTGAACAGGGCAGAGTGAGATGGGAATCTTGCCCTGAACACAAAGCCTCTGCAGCTGGAGGCTGGAAGGTATGGAAATGACAGCCTTCCAGCCCAGGAGCCACCTTAGCATTTCTCATATTTTTTGATTCATAAGACTCACCTCTCATCCCAAGACCCAAAGTTAAGAAGAGATGCAGGCGTCTCAGAATCAAAGCAGCTTGTTGTATCTGCCCTTTCCCTCCACCAAAAAAGAAAGGAACTTCCAGATAACCAGCCCAACCACATCATTTTTGAGAAGACGATTCGGGGAAGTTGAGTTGCCCAAAGAGCACACATACAAGCCAGTGTAGGCATACTACATTCCCAACAGGCGGGTCTGCCTTAGAAATCCCCTCACATGCTTATTTATTTATTTATTTATTTGTTTGTTTTACTTAGAAGAACTGGGGTGCAGGCCAGAGGTGGGGTGTTCACCAGAAACAGAGTGGGAAGCAAAACTGGCAGATTGACTGAAATCCACTGCTGAGGGGAGCAACGGGCAAGACAGGGGAGGTCTGCTGCGCCTATGTGGGTCAGCTCCCAGGGATCAAACTCAGGCTGTAGGGGTGACAGGCTGAGACTTAACCCCTAGGCCACCAGGGAAGCCTTGACCCTCACTTGCTTTAACAGTAGGAAAGGTAGTAACACCTACATCTTCATCCTGAGACAAAGCCATATTTCAGCGACCATCTCAAGGCAACCCTACATAATTAAGAGTGTCAGAAAACGTTACCTATTAGGACACAGGATTCTTTAAACTTACAACTTTACCTTTGTAAACCAGAGGTTTTGGAGAAAAAAAAAATGTTTTAGCCATTCACAAGTGGAAGGCTGAGCAGTAGCCCTAAGCGTTACTACCAGTAGGGGCCACACAGGAGATATTATCCCAACTAATAAATTCATTCACCCTGAACCAAAAGTACAGATGACCTCATTTCCTGCAGAGCCATCAGGCGGTCTCGGCCTTTTAAACAAGCCATCAGTGCACACAGGTGCAACTCATTCATGTCTTGACTTAAGAAAGGGACCCCCATGAAGGCAAAACCCTCTTCCTCCTCAATGAAGAGAGACGTGTTAATGAAAGTCGGGGGATTTCTTGGATCTGGTTTTCCCCTTTTGTTTTGGGAAAAAAACCCAGCTCTCACAAGTCAAAGGAGAATTAGAAGTTAGGATTTCATTACTAACTATAAACACCCCCCAGGAGAATGGGTGCCAGAATCTCCTGTGAACTTAACCTGCATCATGAAACAGGCACACCTGTCGCTTGCCAACTCTGCTTAAATAGGGAGACGCGAAGGTAGCTGCTCTGTACCAACTTCCCAAGAACATAAATATTAAATAGAACCTGACAACTAAATGCCACTATATTAGAAAACAAGAGAAACCACCACGAATTAAGACCAACCATGGATTTTTTTCCAACATGCAGATGGCTAAGAATCGCAATGAGTTTTACAGTTATATTCCTTGATTGGCTTCTGGTGAAAAATGTACAGTACATTACTTTCCACATCAAGGTAAATCACCTTGCGCAGTATATGCCACAACCCCCTCCCAATTATCTGGAGGTGCCAGCCACATCCCAGCCGACAGCAACCACACATTCACCCCAGCCTTCCACTGTGTAGGGTAAAGAAAATGTCAGGCTTTTCTGCCCTTCCGCCATCAGGATAGATGATGGATCCTTGTCCTGAATGCATGCCTGATGGCGGGCACCTGGAATAGGGTGTGGGCATAGGTAGATGGGATTCACCTGGGCTGAGACTGTGCTTTTAAGGGCGGCGTCACGGGGACGTCAGCAGCAGCAGCAGAAGCCGAGCCGAAAGAGAAGCCGAGAAGCAGCAGAACGAACGCCAGAGAGCCCAGATAGAGTGAAGACTTGCTGGGGGCTGGGAGGCCTCCCAGCCCCCCAGCCAGCACCCCTGCCTGCCATATACCTGGTGAACCCCAATAAAAGACCTGCAAAAACCCACTAAGGACTCTGACTCCTCCTTTACCCGGTCTGCATGGGATCAGAAAACCTGCACTGTATCCAGTCCTGCCCTTTACACACTGACTACACTGAGGATTGTCATTCATCAACAATGTGGAGAGCACAACTAAAGGGACATGAGTGAAAGTCACTGTCATCTCATTTGTTCACCCTCAGCCAGCAAGCACAGGGTAGATTCACTACGGACTTGGGCAGACAGATAAAGAAGAGTCCCAGAGACCGCGATGGATTTTTCAGGCTTTAATGCTGTCAGGGAACCAGGCACACAGGCACACCAGGCAGGGGAGCTGGCAGGCAAGGAGGCAGGCCCTGGGCCAGGCAAGGGTGGGGACTGGGAGGCAGGCAGGTAACTGAGCCTCCCAGTCCCCCACAAATCTTTATGCTCTTTCTCTGGCATTTTCTCGGGGTCTTGCCTCTTCTGTAGTCACTCTTGCCCCTGGAGCCATCTTCATGTCTGAGTGACGCTGCTCTTCTATCCTTGGCCTTTAGGCTCAGGTGTGCACACTCACGCATGTCCGCACCCATGCTCCAGGTGTCCACAATTAGGCACGTGTGCCTCATGCCCATGCTTCCAAGTATCTTCTGCAGTCAAGGCCACGGATGACAGCCACAGAGGCCACTGGCACAAAAAGCCAGATTAATCCATTTACCCTACAGCTAGCTAAGTCACCCCTCTGTACTGTGTAAGGACATTTAATCGCCATATTAATCAAACCAGTGAGGGCCTATCTCCTGTAAGAGGAAGAAAATAGGCTCAGAGAGATCTGCCACAGATCAAGTGTCCTATCAGTGAACAGGCAATGTTCTTAGAACTGGCCTGTGATGTTAATTAAGCCTTGCAACTGCAGGGCAGAGACTTAGTCCTTCTCTCCTTTCAGCTCAAGGACTCTCCCACAGCCACACTCTGCCAGCTCCTCTGTCAGGCCAAGAAGCACCCCAACTTGACACTCCTCTGTGTATTTATTGGAGGGAGTGGAGCATCTCTGTGTGTCTGGCTTTGCTCAATCCAGAGATTGTTGGGACAGAAAGAATAACTCAGGCCTTGGAACACACTGGGTCCCCACGATCAATCCAAGTTCTACCCAGTAAATGGAGCTGACAGCAGCCTGAAGACAGATGGTCCTGTCTTCTAAATGAGAGACTTCACTATAAAGTTTCTTAAGATGAAGGTCTTTCCAGAAGCGATTGCACATATTTCTATTTAACCAGGAAATACCTCCCCTCTAAATGCCCAGAATCATGTTGGTGCCTTGTGTTGGGGTTGACAAAATTAATAAATATCCGGAATTTCCAAAATACAGCAACTCAGCCATCACCTCTTGGGGGCAGAACCTGATTGAGCCAATTCCCTTTTCTTGGAGAACCAGCTACACTTCTCCATCGCAGACACACAAACTGATGTGGCCAGATGG